CTAATACTAATACTAATACTAATACTAATCACAAATAATAATGTTCTTATGCCGTGCCGTGTACTCGAAAAGAAAAGAGGGGGCGAATAAATGGGGCTTAACAGTTAATTGACAATTAGTCTAAAAATCAGTAGTTAATGACAACTAGGTACGTCCATCCACACGTGACCTCTACAAACTAACCTTCTGTTATTATTACATTCTTCAGATGGTATTTGTCTCCTCTGGGCGAAAAAACCGAAAATGACTTACAGACAAATACATTGAGTAAGTAACCACTATGATAACGTTGCTACATCTAAATTCACCACTCTAGAAACAAGTGAAGGACTGGGAACGAGTATATAGATAATTCATCTTATTTAAAAAAAAAAAAAAATGTCCATGACGAGAAAGAGCACATCGTCATTAACAGATTTCTGTAGCTTGGCTTCGATTGGCTAAGTAATAGATAAATTATAAGCAATCAAAAACATCGAACATTACAAAGAAATGTGTGTTTACAAGGGACAAGCGTTACCAGTAACCATACGTCTTTGTAATTTTTGAGATGTTTGGGATGCTCAGCACCATTAAGGCATGGCTCTTTTGAGGAAGTGATGGAAAATCAGTTATTTATTCATATCTTTGACAGTTTACTATGAATCTTTCCCAAATTTGGCTCCTAGTAGTAATTCTTCAAGGCAAGCAATTACCGCGTATCTGTTACCATGGAAAGCAGGTCACGTGACCACAAGGCCGCCATTATGGATTTTTTAAACAAATCGTTTGTAGTCGTATTGAAACTACTTCAAAAGTCCTGAAAATCTATATTCCTTTTCATATTTGCAATACCTATATGGATCTAATTGGATATCTTGGAAATTATATTAAGTTTAATTTTTAGAATATTTTTAATTTTTTGGAAAATACAGAAAATATTCTAAAAATTAAACTTAATATAATATCCAAGATATCCAATTAGATCCATATAGGTATTGCAAATATAAAAAGGAATATAGATTTTCAGGACTTTTGAAGTAGTTTCAATACGACTACAAACGATTTGTTTAAAAATCCAAGATGGCGGCCTTGTGGTCACGTGACTTAGTTTCCATGGTAACCAAGGCTCTAAGGTTCCTTCTTTTCACAAAAGACATTAACTTGCCAAGTTTGGGGAAGATTCGTAGAAAACTGGCTATGATATAGCCAAACAGTTTTTCATCTGAGAGCCATGCCTTAATGATGCTGAGAGTCACTGCACAAAAGGTATGAAACCCAAAATCTTTTAACTCCAGAAATTTACTAATTWCGATGTACTCTTTCTTGTTATGGTGTTTATTTTTTAACTGGGATAAATCTAAAACTCGTTCCCAGTCCTCAACTGGTTTCTAAAGTGGATAATTGACATTGGAATGAATATTCACTGATTCTAGTCTTGTTTTTGTCGAATACAGCTATTCCAGCAGCCATTCTTCAGCGTCCAGTGTTATTTACTAACGAATACCTAAGGTAAGATAACCCTAAATGGTTCGCCATCTTGATTCCTTCACGTTCCTTCTTGGGTCTTGTCTAGGTTGTTCACACGTTTCTTGCTGTCATTTTACGATCGACGCCATCTTGGATATTTATATGCGGTTTCTCCATTTGTGTATCGAAGGCACGGGTCACGAACGCTGGAGGCCTGAGCACGTTAYGAAAAACGAGGACCGAAGTGGGCTTTTCTTAACGATTTTCGGATCACGTTTTTTGTGTCCCGCGTTTTCGATCGTACGCCAATGGGGAAAACCGCGTAAACATTCAAGATGTCGTCGAAATATGAATGACAGCCGAAAACGCGTAAACAAGACCCAGTCTGGCGTGCTCTTTTGGTTGGCATTGCAACGTTGGTTTCTACCCCTAAGAGGCCAAGGCCAATTATCTAATGAAGAAAATAGAAAACGCGCGCGCGTGCTGTGTGCAGTTATAAAGCACGCAGGGGTTGGCAGAACACGAGAAAAGTGTTAGGAGAGTGTTCTGCCAATCCCCAAGTGCTTTATAACTGCACACAGCACAGCAAGCAGGTTTTTTATTTCTTTTATAAAATACGATTAAAAATAACCGTTATTTTTGATAGGAATGACGCAACTGAAAGTGCGCGCGCGTGCTGTGCGCTCTCATAAAGCACGCGCTCACAACCAATCAGAACGCGAGATTTATAGCAGTTGTTTTATAACGAATAAGAGTTATCCTGTATTTACTCACAGAGCTTTTAACTTGGGCAGCCTGGGTTCAATCACGAGCAAAAACATTTTGTATGCCTTCGACAATATTGGTAATTATTTTCTCTTTTCTTACAACTAAATTTGCATCATATTTGGGGTGCTCTTTGCATGAACACAATGCTTTTCATGTGCGCCGGAAGAGTAACAGGCTATTGTGTTTATGTAAAGGCCCCATCAGAATGCATTGCAATTCCGAATCGTGCTCAGTTCCATGTTTATGCAATTATTATCATCACATTACCATTATTATAATTATGATTATTATCATTAATATTATTATCATTATTATCGTCATTACTATCATAATCATCA